CCTGGGACCCGCACTCAGTGTCTTAGCGTCCAGCCTCCAGAACTTTGAACGTTATCTGTGGGCATCTGTGAATTATCTTGATTTACTTTGTGCATCTGTTAGCAAGATGTGTTCTAAGGTATCAGGAAAGCCTAAGAGAGGTGATTTTTGGGGTCTGGGAACGCTCAACAATTTTTCCATATAAATTAATGGTAACCTCTTGTTTGCTTTATGATATTTTTTTTAAAAAAGATTTTATTTATTTATTTATTTATGAGAGACACAGAGAGAGAGAGGCAGAGGGAGAAGCAGGCTCCATGCAGGGAGCCCGATGCCGGACGTGATCCCGGGACCAGGGTCACGTCCTGGGCCGAAGGCAGACGCTCAACTGCTGAGCCACCCAGGTGTCCCAACTTTATGCCATTTTGGATTGTGGACGTATTCATAGGAACGCTCTACTTTTGGAGAGCAGAGCAAAAGGGTGTATCCACTGGTTTTGAATGTCGTATATTCACCGTACGTCGTATATCCACCGTATACTGGTTATTCATGGGATGTTGTATATCCATCATATTTTTTGTACCATATCCATTATATACGGTTCATTCATCATGTGCTGACTCACGTCATCTCAGCAGGGCTCCTGAGTGGCCTCATGAGCCCCATGTGTTGGGCAGGGTGGCTTTTCTCCAGTGTGGCCTGACCCACTCACCCGTCCTGGGTCATGGGTCAGGTTCCATCGTCTCCCTTGGGCCTGAGGCTCCCGGGCATGGGCCTCCCTGGCAGCGTCCCAGGTGGTCCGACTGAGTGTACTCACTGGACCAGGGCCTCACAGCTCTGGTGAGGGGGGCTCGGGTCCGGTCCACCTTCTGCCTCCAGAGCCAGGGGACTCGGTGCCCCGGGGATTCACTGATAGGTCGGCACTGGTGCCCCGGTCACAGAATCAGCTTTGTCTCTCTGCCCTTCACCAATCTGCTAATTGTGCTTGGTCCTTGTGGGCCGGTGGTCGGCCAGTGGGACTTCTCTCTGACCTTGAGACTCCAGGGAGTTAATCTCAATTGATTTTAGCTTTAGTTCTGCTGGTCTCAGGCTGAGGGATCCCATATGGCCCTCTCCTGCTAGGGCACGAGAAGGGGAACTTTGTCTTGTCCCCCGTCCCTCTGTGCAATGATTCCCCCACTGAGAGATCGACAACCCAACCCCTGCACCTGCAGCCTCCCTCACCCACAAGCACACATCACATACTCTTCATGCTCAAGGGTGTGTTCACAGCTGTCCACACACATGCTTACACACTTGCCACACGTGTGTTCACACAGAGCCACTCAGTAAACACGCTCATGCATGGCCACGCACCACGGGATGCACCCAGGCTCGTGCACACTTGCTTCCCTCTTGGTGGCAAGTTGGCCCAGGACCCGAGGGGTCTCCCAGCTGCTCCAAGGACAGCCTCTGCAACCCGGGTTCCAGAATAAGCCTCATCAGCCTCTTCTCTGTGGTCCATGATCCCCAAGTGCCAGCGGTGTCTCGAGATAGTCAGGCAGTTTTCCTGGGAGACTGATGACCACATGCCAAGACATCAGTGTGTTCGGGGTGAGGGAGAGAAGGAGAGGAGGAAAGAGGGAAGCGGAGGACGGGAAGCAGGATTGCAGGCCACACTTGGGACATGTGGATGGTGGTGGCTGAGGTTCCTGTGAACAAAATGAACACTTAGTCGTATTCGGGAGAATGCCTCCCCCTTCACATCTCCTCTGGTTAATCAGAAGCACTTAATTTCCTTTTCCTTATTGAATATTGCAATTTCTGGACACGTGGCCACCCGTAGTTTGTCGAAGGTGTGTGTGCGTGCGTGTCTCTGAGTGTGTGTCTCTGTGTGAGGGGTGTGTGTGTGTGTCTGTCTGCCCTTGTGCCTGTGTCTGTGTGTGTGTGTTTGGCCTTGTGACAGCATTATTTGGGGAAAAATAGGAAAGATTCTAGAGTGTAGGGTGCCTAATGAAAAAGTCCCTGGGGAACACTCTGGAATACTTCTGAGTTCTGAAGTGTGAAAGGTTTGCCTCTTAATCCAGCCCAGAGGCTCGAGCTTCACAGATCTGACTAGGGCTATAATGATCTGGAATTGGCCATGGAGCCCAGGATGTGGTTGGGGCCCACTGTCCTACCTCCTTCCCATTCCGAGCCGTGGTCCCCCCATTCTGAGGAGTCTGGGGGCTGTAGTGGGAGCTCTTGTCAAGCTAAGGGTTGAGTCATGCTGAAGACTTGGCCTGGACATGAAATAGAGGGCCAGTCCCCAAGGATGAGGCTGGAGCGGGTCTTGGCCTGGACAGGAGACAGGGGGCCAGTCCCCAAGGATGAGGCTGGAGCGGGTCTTGGCCTGGACAGGAGACAGGGGGCCAGTCCCCAAGGATGAGGCTGGAGCGGGTCTTGGCCTGGACAGGAGACAGGGGGCCAGTCCCCAAGGATGAGGCTGGAGCAGGTCTGGGAGTGTGGCATGGAGCCAGGCATCTGGCTGCAGCCCCCTACTCGGGAAGGTCCAAGGAGCCAGGAGCACGCGGGTGGGCTCTGTGCAGCCCGAGGGCTGAGCAAGTGGGTGAGTGGGCGTCTGGCCACGTCCTCACTGCCAGATTGCTGTCTGCACCACAGCAGAGGGCCGGAGGGAACCTCTCCCAGGGAAGCTCCAGCCAGAAGCAGGCGCAGGGAGAGGCTGCAGGATCGGCCGGGCCCTCCCTGCCCGGGCTCTGTGCTGCTGCTCACCACGGTGCGCTGGAGGTCAGAGTCCTTGGAACCGCTCGTCCTGGGAAGGATGAGACTTACCCTCTAGGCCTCTTGAACTGCTTGCAGGCCGCATGACTCATGCAGAGCAGATATGGGTGAAGGAGGGACGCACGCAAGGGAAGATTTCCGATGTGGGGGGTGAACTTTTCTCAAGTAGGGCCAGGCTTAGCAACTTCGGTTTATAATCCAGCGGGAGGACGTTTGGCACGACGCCTTGGAAGGCCGAATGTGGACCACGTCGTAAGGGACTCTGGCGGCGGTTCTGGATCCAGTGGTGCACACTTGCCTCGAGTGTGACAAGCAGGCACAGCGGGGACTTTCTCAGGCCCTGGGCCGTCTGATGACAGCTGATGACTCCGCAACTCACGCCCTTTGTGCTTTCTGCTCATTTTCGTATTAGTACCCGCAAGTTCTTCCAAGCAAACATTTGTTACAAAGAGAAAAAACAAACTACTTGTTATTGACTATGTCTTTTTTTTTTTTTTTTTTGGTATGCGAAAACTCAGTGTGCATATGGACGAGAATAATGTGAATAAAGAGAAACATTAATTCTTATTAAGGTATGGGCTGCAGGGCAATTTTAATCTTGGATTCTTATTTTATTCATTTTATTGTTATTTTTTCAATAACATAACGTCGTGAAAAAGATTTATTTTCTTACGGTGTATTATTTTTTCAAGGGTTTTCACTGGATGGAGAAATGGTTTTCATCAGGTACAGCTACACACACAGGAAGATGCCCGCATTGTCGGGTGGACCCAATGACATCTGTAGAGACTTTAACAGGGGAAAGGGCCGTGGCAAAACGTCTTGCTGTTTTTGGCGGGTGGATCCACTTTCGGCTCATCTGTGACCCTTGCTTGCAGGACAGAGGCTTCTCGCAGAAAAGACCAGCCTTTAGCAGTGAATGAACGTGGCCTCAAGTCCTTTGGCCCCTTCTTGAGCTCCTGGCAGCTGAGGTGTTCTTTTGAGACGAAAATGAAGTGAAGGGAGCTCTGGGAAGAGCTGCGGGGCTCTCTGCCCTGCTGCAGAGGAGGTGCTGGCTCAGCTCGGACCCCCGCTCCATCGGGCCTTCTCCAGGGTCCCGACTGGGGACCCAGCCCGCGTGGACACCACCCAGCCAGTGCAGCTACCAGACATGAGCCCCCGGAGCTGGCAGGAAATAGGTGTGCACACATTCTGTGGATGGCACAGATCTGCTCCTGAAGCCACATGCATGGCGTTGTTTATTGAAAAGGCAAGGGAGGTTTATCATCTCCTCCAAATACGTGGCCACGGCAAAGCTCTCCCTGGGGAGGAAAGGCAGGTGGAAGTGGGCATCGAGAAGGAAAAGGTGAAACACACAGAGACTGCTTAGTCACACGGTCAGCTGACACTTGAGCCCCTCTTGTCACACTGCAAAGAGCTCAGCTCTCTTAAGGTGATGCATAAATCAGGGCTTTGCATGGACTGTAACCAGTGCTAGAACTGGTCGGAGCAGACTAGTCTTCCGAGAGGGATGGGTGCACGTGTGTATTTGTGCTTGTGCACATGTGGGAGCCTCTTATAAGGACTTTCACTCTACTTGTATAAGGGGCAGCCAAGGATTGCTCAAAAAAGATGAAAAATGTGGAGGTGATAAATAATGGTTTATGAGTTTGCCAGCACTGCCGTAGCTAAATACTGCGTCCTGGGGGCTTCAACACAGAAATGTATTGTCTCACACTCGTAGAGGCTGGAAGCCCGAGGTCAGGATGTCACCTGTGGCCTCTCTCCTTGTCTGGTCGACGGCCACCTTCTCTCTGAGTCCTCACGTGGTCTGTGTGGTTCGGCGTCCTTATCTCCTCTTATTATAAGGACACCAGTCATATCGGGCTAGGGGCCACTGTAATGACCTCATGTTACCTAGATTACCTCTTTAAGGGTTCTCTCTCTAAATATAGTCCCATTCTCAGGTAGTGGGGGTTAGGGACACGGTTCAGCCCATAACAGTGATTTTAAACCTCTCACATACAATAGTGGACGTAGATCATCTAGCGTGGCCCCCGCCCAGATTACATGCCTCCGTGTGCTTTCCATGGCTCTCGGCCTGTGCCTTCTATGGCATCCTGGGACAAATTCTCAATGTGGGACGAGTCACGATGAACCATAGACCCTGCCGTGGTTTGGGATTTCTCCCTCCAGCCTTCCAGGTTCCACACAGCTAGAATCTCACCTATCTTTGGAGAGACTCTCATAAAATTATGGCTTTTTTTTTTCTTTTTTGGCAGGAGTCTGGGTGATGGACTGTCATCTGAGGATGGATTTTTAGGGAGTCTTTAGAGCCCTGTGCATATTTTTGGACACCTGCACAAGGTGAGAAGGGGCCAGGGGTCATTGAGAGATGGGACTGGGGGTCATTGAGAGAAGGGGCCAGGGGTCATTGAGAGAAGGGGCCAGGGGTCATTGAGAGATGGGGCCAGGGGTCATTGAGAGACGGAGTCAGGGGGTCATTGAGAGACAGGGTTGGGGGTCATTGAGAGACAGGGCTGGGGGTCATTGAGAGACAGGGTCGGGGGTCATTGAGAGACAGGTCCAGGGGTCATTGAGAGACAGGGTCAGGGTCATTGAGAGACAGGGTCGGGGGTCCCTGAGAAGGCTGCGGAAGGGAAGCCGAGTATCTGCCTAAGGCCAAAGTCAGTCAGAGGCAGAGCGCAGAAGAGAAGGCCCGTCTCTTATCACAGCCCCAGAATCCAGTGGTGCCCGTCCCTTCTGAGAGCCATCAATCCCACCTTTCTGGCTCCTGATAAGCAGAGAGGCCACTCAGGCATGTGGTTGAGGAGAGGCCATCGCTCAGGATTCAGCCAAGAGCCCTCTTCTCGAGGCTCTGTTCCTGTTACATTCTGCTCCCCACCTGCACCCCATCTAATGACAGTCTTTTTTTTTTTTTTGCGTGTGTCTGTCTGTCTGCTAACTGGTTATCTGCCTGAGTCAGGGCCTCTGTGTAGCTGGGGAATTTGTGCGTCACAAAACCTGCCCAGCTGAGCATGCCAGCCCTGGACTCGTATGTGCTGTCAGGCTCTAACCTGCTGAATGCAGGAAAGAGTTGGGATTTGGCTTTCCGTGGGTGATTCCTAGCACGTTGCTAGGCATATAGGAAGCTTTCTATATGCCTGCTGAATAAGCAGACGAGTGGATTTCTGCAAGGAATTGTGGATGTGGAAGAAACAGTGCTCCTTTCTTCTGACAAGTGTAGAAATCTCGGCAGTGTCCCTGACTGCGTCTCCTTAAATGCTGTCAGGGATGAGGCACCCACCCACCAAGTAACAATTTCCCTACTGGGAACTATGGGCACTTAAAACAGTTGTTTTTAAAAATTTATTTACCCGGGGGGGGGAGAGATAAAAGAGAGAGAACGAGAACAAGGGGTAGGTGCAGAGGGAGAAGAGAATCTTTTTTTTTTTTAATTTTTATTTATTTATGATAGTCAGAGAGAGAGAGAGAGAGAGAGAGAGAGAGAGGCAGAGACACAGGCAGAGGGAGAAGCAAGCTCCATGCACCGGGAGCCCGACGTGGGATTCGATCCCAGGTCTCCAGGATTGCGCCCCAGGCCAAAGGCAGGCGCCAAACCGCTGCGCCACCCAGGGATCCCGGGAGAAGAGAATCTTAAGTAGACTCTACGATGAGCACAGAGCCTGATGTAGGGCTGCACCTCATGACCTTGGGCCCATGACCCTGGGACCATGACCCCAGCTGAAACCAAGAGTCATATGTCAATCTCATGACCCCAGAACCATGACCCTAGGACCACGACCCCAGCTGAAACCAAGAGTTGGATGCCCAACCGACTGCACCACCACCCAGTGCAATATTACATATAAAGTATATAATATAAAACAATATTTCATAGTTGCTGAACCAAGGCTCCTCCTCTTTTATCCCATGCTCTTACATCTGGGCAGGACTTTGGAGGTCCCTCTTCCAAGGTTTTCCAGAAGAAAGAAAGAAAGTGCCTTCTGGGTGGAGCCCGGTGGGGTGGAGTAGTCAAAGATCATCTGAAAAACCCAATGCACTATTAGATATTTTGAAATTTGGAAAATGAGAGGAAATCCTAGATTTTAATGATAGAAGTTATTAACCATAAAGGGATGAGAAATTATAAGGGGAGGGACGAGTGGTAATCAGGCATGAGGTGGAAGCAGAGTTCTCAAAGTTTACCTGGTTATATTGTTTTAAGTTTTGAACCACACGAATGTTATCACCCCAGTGGAGTGGAAATTCAAGTGTTAAAAGGAGAAGCAGGGCAAACAAAACAAAAGGAGGCAAATCCTGCACGGTTGGGGTGAGAAGACGTGGCGATTCCAAAGGTCATCCCCCTCCACCCCCAATTTCTTCTGCTCTCCCAAAGAGGGTGCCTTTGATGAAGGTGAGGTGGGTGACTGGGCCCCCTCTCTTTTGGGGAAGAAGGGGAAGCCCAGAGTGTTCAGTGCAGTTACCAGGCAAGTCAATGCCATTTCTCTTCCTTTCAGATGCCCCGTGTGCAGAACGATTTAGTAGAAAGCATTTTGGCCTGAAAATTAAGTTGGAATTCTCCTGAGTTACTACTACCTTGGAGCTGACATCGGGCAGCCCTGTGTGCTCCCCAGCTATGCTGAGGAATATTTGACAATCGAACCTAGTCGTACTTTTCAAAATGAAAAGCCAGTAACTTGGGAATACGTGAAAAGATGCTCCTCTTCCCTGATTCACAAATGCACATCAGATCGAGATGCCCTTCTCTACCAATCACACTGGCCAAGACGAGCCAGTTTGGCCAACCGTGGTAGTGACAGGGTTGTGAAGAAGTAGGGTTCTCTACCACTGTTGGTGGTGGGCCTCAGACTTGCGTAATTTGGTCCAGATTTCATTTTATTTGGTTGGTAATTTTACATCGAATATCATCGTCACAAGGGCATACATTTTGAGGCTTCCATTTCTAAATCTGGGGATATATCCTGCAAATATACTCTGGCAACGCGAGCAAAGACGGTGAGCAAGGTTGTTCACTTTACAGCAGAATGGAATATTATGCTGCCATTGAAATGAGTAAGGCACATTTTGTACGGACAATATGACATGATATTTGATTTAAACGAAAAGGCAAAAACTCGGGATGATGATACACATCTATTCTTTGCAAAGAGGTATTTGTAGGTGTTTGTGTATATGAAAAAATTTGTGGATGAATGTATAGAAAACCATAGACTGTTGTTACGTCTGGAGAGCGTGGGGCTCTATGTAACGGGTGGCAAGTCCTCTGGAGATGGTATGACATTTGGAGTGACCAAACTTGCTCACTATGGGGCACACGGGATTTTTTCATTTAAGAAAGGCAGCCCCTCCCACCAACAAAAATCTAACCCCTCGTGGGCTCTTGTGAACATCACGTTGGATAAACTCAATTCTCGATTCCATAAACTCTTAGACGCATTGATAATGTTCCAGCCACTGGCTAAATATATGTAAAAACTGCTTCACAAACTGCTAACCGCCATAAAAACCGACCGCAAATGATTTATTTCAGATAGCACGGCTAATTAACCCAATATTTATAAGAACCAACTTCCATTTAGAAGAAGGAAGCTTCCAGAACATCAGGACTCATGGCAAATAAACAGTCAGGGTTATTTTATTGAGTGCCAGATTTCAGCAATACAGAATCACAACGTTAAAAAGCACACGCAACAACTCCCTCCAAATCCTCCCAGAAAGCCAGAAAGCCAGAAAACGGTGTGAAGAACCTTGAGTTGCTGGGAGAGACGGTACCTGTCACAAGGCCGGTGACAGAGGCAGGCGGGGCAGGGAGAAGGCTCTGGGCCAGCCGGCTGAAGAGCAAGGGACAGGCGTCCTTTCTCAGGGGAGCCTTCATGCCACCTTCACTCTTTGACTCATCCTCACTGTGACCTCTCGGCTTGCAGATGTTGAAAGATGTTGTACGTGTTCTGTTATGGCATTAAATAACGTCTGCGCCGAGCGCCCGCCCTTCCTGCGACGCCTGCGGTCCTGTGGCAGCGACGCCTTCCCGCCTTCCCGCCTTCCATCTCCCCAGCAGCCCGGTGTCCTGAAGCTATCAGGCAAGCCTCCTTAGCTTAGATCTGTGCTGCAGCCAGCTGGCCCGACGGCTTTATGTGAGAGCTTCTTCTGGGGTTGTAGGAAATGGGCTAGAGTGTGTGGCCTAATGACCCTGCGGGGCTGTGGCCGGTGCCGATTTCAAGTGCGAGTGAACACATCGGTGAACCAGCTCTCCCACGACAGCTCCAAGGAGGTAGACGAGGATGCGACTTCTCAGAGTCCAAAAGGCGCTACACTGCCCTTCAGGAGTCTACACTGCAGGAGGCGTGCCCGCCGCCCAGTTGCTGCCCAGGGCGAGGCAAGACAGGCTGCCCCAGAAGCAGGAGGCCCACTGACCCTACTCACCTGGCAGCGCTCTCTGCAGGGCCACAGGCCTGGGCTCAAGTCCCAGCTCCGGTGCTTAGTGCTACTAGTCCCCCCGCTTGGGGGGGTCCGTGCAGCCTTTCTGTGCCTTAGTTTTCCATCTGCGAAATGGGAATAACAGTGAGCTGGCCCAGCGGGCTAGGACAGGGGACAGGCAGGGGGCTCAACCTGCAGCCCCCCCCCCCCAACGTGAAGTGGTTGTTAGATAAACAGAAGGGGACCAGACTTTGAGGGGGCAGATAAAGGGGAGCCTAGAGGCTCGCAGGAGGCCTGGGCATCTTTCTGCCTCTCTCCTGCTAGAGTCCTATTCTGGGTTGCAAGAGTGTTCTGGCTGAATCGTTTCAGAGGTTTTTGCCCCGAGGGCCTGTGGGGCTCCATGGGGGCTCTGGGACAGTCAGTGGGACCCTGAACAGAGGAGGGTGGGCTCCCGCTCAAGGCCAGAGGCTCTAAGGGGAGGGGCACGAGCACTGGCAGGTGACCTGGCTTCGGATGGGGCCCTGCCGCTGACTGGCTACTTCTCTGGGTTCTGGTTTCCAAACCTGGAAGATGTGGATGACGTTACACCAAGCTGGCTCAAGGATTAGAGGGATGAGGCATTAGTGCAGCGTGCCAAACCGGTATTTACCTCCGAGCTGTTGGTTCTGCTGCTGGAACTGGGAGACATGGGCGGAGGTCAGGACTAGAGCCTGGCTTAGGGGAAGGAACAGAGGCCCGGAGGGCTTCCCCGATTGCACCTGGGAATGCCAGCCCCAGTCCCAGGCTCCCCCCACCCCCCGCTGGCAGCTCTGGGGCCATTGGTCACTGTAGTCCAGGGAGGGGTCACAGCTGGAGGACACTGATGAGACATGGGGGGGAGGCAAGGGGACAGGTGGATCCGGGAGTGCAGGGAACTTGGGCCACGGAGCTGCTGCTGGTGTCATCGGTCTCGTCTCGTCATCCATCCTGGCCTCCTGGCAGGCAGAGTGTTTAGGGGAAAGCCGGGCTCCCCAGCACCCCCCAGGAAGGCCGGTGGGGGAGGGGAAGCAGAAGTTGGACGGCCTACTTCCTCCCCTCCCTGGTGTGCACTCAGCACGCTGTGCTCCTTCAGGTCTTGGCTGAGTTCAGCCCAGAGCGAAGCCAACAGCCCCAGAGGGTCAGACGTGCCCTTCCAGCTGGGGTGGGCGGATGTCTGGAGCTGTCTGGGGTTCACACCTGGGCCCCCGGCCCTGGGAGGAGGCAGTGCTGCGGGGCCTTGGGGTGGCCCGAGAGAGGAGTGCATTCCTCCTTCAGAATCCTGCTGTTCACACAGAGCATCATCTGCTCATGATCTGCTCTCAAATCTCATTTTTTTCTCACTTTAAAGCAACTTTGGGTAAATGTGTCAAGTTTTTTGATCTTCCAAATTCGAGTCTTTGGGTTTGATTGCAAATGTACCCCAAATTTGGGGTGGGTTTAAGGTTTTCAGTGTGCTGTCTTGAGCTCTTCTATGCCCGGTCTTGGTTTGAAATGAGCTCTTGGGGCTCCAGAGAGGTGACTTGACCTGGGACCACCCTCCCTGTCCTTGTGGGGTCCAGCCCCTGACTTCTGTCTGGAAGTGACTGGCTGCTCCCCCTGCCCCCAGCACGCTCAGGTCTGTTTGCGCCCTCCCTGCCACCTGGTTGCTGCAGTCCCCTCTCTACCTTGACTCTGCAGGGACTCACTTCCCATGCTTGTTCTGAGCAGTAAACAAACTAACTAGAAGCCCCTCTGGCTTTGTACCCATTGCTCCATCTTCTGACTCTGGGCCCGAGTCCTGCCTCCTGTACCCTGGCACTGTGATCTCTGTGGCTCACCCAGATCTAATCTACCCCAGCCTCCCTAGGGGTCAAATAGGAGGTCAGCTTTAGGAAGAGGCAAGGCAAAGCCGATCCGGACATCCATACAGAGGATGGGCCATTTCTCCCAGCCTGCCCTTCTGCTCCCTGGCCTCTGAGAGCTGTCAGCCCCTTCCTTGGAACCCAGAATCTCCTGCTCTGCCAGCAGCTGAGGGCCAGGCCCCTATTGTGAGGCCAGAGCTGTGTTGAAGAAGGGGTGTGGGAATACCATATGATTTCACTCATATGTGGAATTTAAGAAACAAACAAGCAAAGGGAAAAAGAGTGTGAGAGAGAGAGAGAGAGAGAGAGAGGGAGACAAACCAAGAAACAGACTCTTAAGTACAGAGAACAATCTGATGGTGACCAGAGGGGAGGTGGGTGGAGGTTTGGGTTAACTAGGTGGTGGGGATGAAGGAGACACTTGTGATGAGCCCTGGGTGATGTACCGAAGTGATGAATCACTATATTGTACACCTGAAACTAATGTAACACTGCAGAGAAATAAAAAAGTTAAACTTCTTAAAAAAATCTAAATCCACCCACCAAAAAACGCAAAAGAAAACAGAGGGGGGAAGAAAGAAAGGGTATGGGAGCAGATATCACGAGCAGAAGCTTCTAGAAGTGTCCAGTGGCATCTCTGGGGGGCTAAGTAGCCAGGAATCCAATCACTAACAGGGCACCTTCAGCACAGTGATCTTTCTTCCTGTTTCTGAGCGGGATAACTTCTCCAATATCAACATCTTCAGTTGTCACCTACCACTGTCCATGTCAGGTGACTCACAGCCAACTTAGAAGTGGAATTTTCAGACATTTCGGTGTGGTTTGTACAATACGAATAAAAAAGGGATCCTAAAACAAAATGCAAAAGGCCCCAGAAAACCCACACTTTCACAGATCCCCAAACCCACTTGTGCTTCTCCTTCCTCGGGAAAGTGATGGAGTTTTGAGCTTATGCTGCTGAGGTGTGGCCCACGGCACATTTCAGGTGCTCTGGCTGCGGTGGGGGCTCATGACAGCAGCGAGCGGGTACTCTGGTTCCACGTGGACCAGTCCGGGTTCTCTGGAGAAACAGAACCAAAAGCCAACAGGAAGTGCCTGTATGTATACACATCATCAATCTTCTTACCCATAAAATGAGTAAAAATGCTTTTTAACTCCTAGGGTTCTTGTAAAGATTAAATGATGGATGATGTCTATTTACTATGCTAGCCAACACTGCTTGAGTGTTTAGGAGCAGTGCTGGACACTGTTCTGAGTACTGTACAGACCCGTTTAATCCCCTCCAACAACCCTCCCAGGTAGGTGACATTCTTAGCTTCATGCATTTTTATTTTTATTTTTTAAAGATTTTATCCATTCACTCATGAGAGACACACACACACAGAGAGAGAGAGAGAGAGAGAGACAGAGAGAGGCAGAGACAGAGGCAGGGGGAGAAGCAGGCTCCATGCAGGGAGCCCGATGCTGGACTGGATCCCGGGATCCCGGGGTCACGACCTGAGCCAAAGGCAGAGGCTCAACTGCTGAGCCACCCAGGTATCCCCACTTTTATTTTTTAAAGATAGTTTTATTGAGATATACCTCATGTCCTATCATTCACTGCTTCTTGGCATATTACATTATTGATTTTGTAAAATCGTGATCAAATATACATAATGTAAAAATTTCCATTGAACCTGTGTTAAGTGTACAATTCAGTGACATTAATTACATTTACAGTGTTGCGCAGCCACCACCAGTCTTTCCCAAGGGACTTTTCACCCTCCTCCCCCAACAGAAACCTCAGTACTGTTAGGCATATTATCCCCATTTTACAGACGGGAAAACCAAGGCACAGAAAGGGAAGGAAACTTGTACAAAATCATACAACAAACTTGGGGTGGCGCTGGGGGGTTTGACATGAGTAATTTGGGTCCAGGGCTTGTGTTCCTCATCCCCCCTGGGTATCCAATTATGGCTAAGGTGCCCCGGGAGCCCATAGGTGCCCACGCTTTCTCCAGTCTTCATAGGAGGTCTGCAAGATAGTGATTACTGGATTACTGTCCCTATTTTACAGCTGAAGAAACTGAGGCACGAGGAATTTGCCAAAGCACAACCAGAGTGCGGGCAGACGTGGAACGAGGGTCCCAACCTCAGGGCTCGCTCCTCCCACCTCCAGGCACACCTTTTCCCAGGGTCTTGAGGCTTTCCCGCAGCTCTGCCTGCCGCCCAGCACACATTCGGGGCACCCAGGCCGGCTGGGCCGCCCTCCCAGACGGCAGTTGGGAGTGCTCAGCGCGCCCTGCAGATAGAGGGCAATTTGGGTCAGGGCGAGGAAGGTTCATTCCAAAGGCAGGGCCCGGGTTCCGGTGCTGGGTGGTGAGAGTCCGCAGGGGAAGGCATGGGGGAAGCGGCATTGCATGGAGCGTAAGGGTGCAGGTCCTCGCTCAGTCCCCCCCACAGATAGGGGGTCCTTAAGGGCGCCCACCCCGTCCAGGCCCTTAAGGGCGCCCACCCCCTCCAGGCCCTTAAGGACGCCCACCCTGTCCAGGTCTTTAAGGGCGCCCACCCTATAGATAGGGGGTCCTTAAGGGCGCCCACCCCGTCCAGTCCTTAAGGGCGCCCACCCCCTCCAGGCCCTTAAGCCGCCTGAAGCACATCCGAGTCGGATCAGGATCAGCCGGGTGGGAGCTTTGCACAAACTGCGAGGGTGGGGTGGGGTTTGGGGCGCCTGGAGGTGGGGCGGTGGAAAGACTAGAAACGTCCTATCCGGGCCCAGGAAGGCTGACAGGCTTCATCTAAAAGCGTCTTGAGCAACCGAACGGACGTCGACAACTTGGGGTGACTTCGGCCGCCGCAGGGGGCGCGGGGAGGCGGGAACCGGGCGGACCCGGGGGCGGGGCCGGGGCGGGAGTCCGGGACCCGCAGGTGAGGCGGACCCGCAGGCGCCGGGGCGGGGGCGGGGCCTGGGGGCGCGGGGCGGGGCCTGGCGGGGAGATGGGCGGGGCCTGGCGGGGCGGGGGCGGGGCCTGTCGGAGCCCCGCCCCGGACCGCCCCGGGGGCAGCCGCGCCTCCTCCCCCAGGCGGTGGTTTTGGGGCGGCGGCGCCACCCGACCCCGCGGCCGCGCTGGAGACGCGACGACCTGTTTTTCTGACCGAGCGGGAAGTGCCGGCGCAGGTGGTCCCAGTGCGTGTTCCTCTTTGCCTCTGATGTCTGGAAGGGGAATTCAGCCGCGAGGGCTCCTGTCTGCAGCCCTGACCCCAACTTCCTCATCCGCCTCCCGCGGGCCGCGCCCCCCGCCCCCTCCCGCCCCGCGCTCGGCGGCCCCTGTGCCCGGGGCGCCCGCGGCCGTCCGGCCCGGCCTGGGCGGGGGTCCCCCTGCACCCTGCGGGCCACCCGGGTCCCTCCCCGGAGATAGCGCAGCGCGGGTCCGTCCTCCCATCCCCCGCTCCCCAGGACCAGGCCCCGGGGGGCTCCTCCCAGGCAGGAGCTGCTTCCCCCCCTGGGCCGGGCGGCGGGGCGGCGGGGCGGCGGGGCGGCGGGGCGGCGCAGCGCAGGTGTGCTTCCCTGTCCTCAGGCATTCCTGTTCCCGCGCTGCGGGAGGCCTCAGGTGGGGGAAGCAGCAGGCACCTGCTGAGGAAGGGCGCTGCCCTGCACATGTGGGTGGCGGTGGGTGCTTGCTGCGACCCTGGAGCGGCCTGGCCCCCGCCTTCCCCCTGCCCTCCTGGGTGACCTACTGCCTGCCCTCTGGACGCGAGCAGGTGGTCACCGCTGGCACCTGTGGTTGGGTCAGTGCCCTGGGTCCCACGGTGGCAGAGAACAGCTTCCTTGGCTTCTTCCACCTTCCTGGGAAATGGCCTCAAATTTCTGGAAAAGGGCAGGAGGATCAGGTTCTCGGAACATTCCCGCTTCTCCTCCGCACAGTTGCCTGTGGAGGCTGCGGCCTCTGTGGTGGGCACTGGCCGAGGCCGGCGGTTCCATAATCCCAGTCCCGGAGCCCGGCCCTGGTCAGCCCCTGCGGGGGTGCTCCTTGCAGTGCTCCTTGCAGCGGCTCCGGTGGCCCTGCCTGCCCTCTCCTGCTTGTCCTCTGCCTCTTGGACCCCGGCCCCCACTCAGAGGCAGGTCAGGAGGGCAGTGAGGGCCCTGGGGGCCTCCCCAGGCTGTCATGCTGTCAGTGGTGTCCCTGGGATGCTCGGTCCCGGGACCCAGCTCCCTTGGGTGCCCTGGGGCAGATTGGCCCGCCTGCCACCCCTCTTCCTCCCTCTGCGGCTGTGCCTTTTCTCTATGTGGCCTCCCTGGCCAAGCCGTGACCAGCAGGGAAGGACTGGAGGTGAGGGCAGGAGGCGACTCGGGCCTTGCCACTTCTGGGCAGTGGCTTCCCGGGCCCCAGGAACGTGTGACCAAGGAGGCTGAGTGGCTGTGGATTCATTTGGTGTCAGGAAAAGGAGACACCCTGTCTCTTTTCTGGACGCAGCAGTCCCTCGGTTCCCCCTTCCCTCCAGCAGTGCCCCTGGGCCGTGGTGCTCTTCATGTGTCTCCACGGGTTGTCCTGGGTCTGGACGGCCACCGGGGGTCTCATGGAGCCCTGGGTTGGAAGGCGTCTCAGGGGCCGCAGTACCCTTCCCCCGAGCCCTTTGTGCAAACATTGCCCCGGGAGGAGGTGTCCATGGCTCCGTCGTGATTCCCTAGGAAGACTGGGGCCCCTGTCTCTGCATCTGGCTGCTCTGGGGTTGCACCGACGTCTGTCACACGATGGCATGGTGCTCACGGGCTGCGTGTGCATTGTCTGACATTGTACCTCGCACGGGGCCCGGTGCCCGGGGCCACACGGACCAGACACTCAGCAAACAGGTGTCCCTTCCTTTGGCTGCTGCCCCCCAGCCCCTCGCCGGCCTGGGCCCTGGGCAGTGACTGGGCTTCCGTCGTTCCGCCTGTGTGCTTTAAGGAACGCGCAGTCCACCCGTGGGCCCGTGTGCTTGAAGCGCCGGTGGATTCCCCGAGGGTCTCCCACAGACCCCTCTCACATGCTCTAAGGGGTAGCCCTTACCCCCACTTTCAGATCACAAGGGGCTGCCCCAGCTCCTCACGTGCACACAGAGGTGCTGCAATTTCCAGAAGAATCCTGGGGCCCAAAGAACCTGCCCATGACCCTGCTGGCCGTTTCCTGGCCTCCCTGGGCCCTCCTCTCCACAGGCATAGCTCCTGGGAACCCCCGCTCTTCCCCATCAGAGGGGAAGGCCTCCCCCCCACCTCAGTGACCCCAGGACAGCTTTTTTCCCTCTGCCTCAGCAGCTCTTCCCACCTCCAGTGGGGTCAGCAGATTCTCCTTCGCCGTTTGGGCCCTGGGCTCCAGGCCACATGACCTGAAGCCCCAGTGCAGCTACCCGAGTGTCTGTTCTGTTGCGACCTGCAACCTTGTTCTCTTAAGACAAGGCCTGAAGGTTTTTCTCATTTGCCCCAGAGTTACCTAAAGGGCTGCGGGGCGGTGGGCAGCCCCCCCACCCGGAGGGGCAGGGCGCAGTCGGTCATCGCTTCCTCAAGGGAGCGAGCGTCATGAAAAATTTCTGATTTTCACATGGTCACAAAACAAAATGAAACCATAGTTGCTTCATACCAGATACCACTGATCTTGTGGATGATTATCTTCTATTGCATGAAAAATATTTGACAGCGCCTCCAGGGGTAAAACTAGAGCATGTGCTGGGGGGGGGGCACCGATGGGTGCCCGCTGTCACGGGATGGGCCAGACGTGTGCCTGCCCTTTCCCCCACCTACCCCGTTCCCTCCACGCTGAGACTCACTGGAAGTCACAACTATTGTTTCTCGTGCTCGCTTCAGCAGCACATAGACTAAAATTGGAGTGATACAGAGAGGATCCGCGTGGCCCCAGCACAAGGCTGACACGCAGATTCGCCAAGTGTTCCATATTAAAAAAAACAAAAAAAAAAAATAAAGTCACTACTGTTTTTTTCTTTAAAGTCTGTTGAGAAGGTGCAGAGTTTTGCCTTCCAAGCGTGGATGCTCGATTCAGGTTCCTCTAAATTCGTTCTTTAAATAAATTCCTTAAACCTACTCCACGCCAGGCACCATGCACCATGCACGGTGGTCCGTGAGGACCCAACAGTGAACAGGACAGACCTGTTCTCTGCTCCGACCCTGTTTGACGTCAGTTCAGACCCCAAATCTGCCATTTACCGTGTACCCACGGGCAGATCGTTTAATCTTTCGGAGCTTTGGTGCTTTTATCTATCAAGTGAGGTTGGGAATTCCTGCCTCACTGCATTTGCCTGGCGTATAGTAGGTGCTCAATAAATGGCTAGTCTTGTTCCGGGCTCTCGGGTGTCCTCTTTCTTCTCACGTGGAAATTGCCCGGGAAGCTACTGAACTGTTGGCTCTGGAGTCAGCTGGCTGCCTGAGTTTTCGAGGCCCTTGGAAGGATTCAGGGGAGTTGGCCCACTGGCTCCGGGTCCGTGCCAGGCCGTGGGCCCTGCTGAGTGACCCAGAGTTGGAGCCGTCGCTATGTCCTGTTCTAATTTCTGTTTCTCGGTGTGCTTTGTAATTGGGCCACTCTTTCAGTCGGCTAGAGCAGTTAACGACCTTGAGAAATGATCCCAGCCCTGAATATAGAATCCTCCTCTTTTGAAGTCACCCACTTTCTTTGTGGGTCTAAACGTGTTTGTATTTTCCCTCGTGGGCATGCCTTCCCTTCCGCTTTGATGCCGCCTCGGTAACAACAGGGCTCGGAATTATTAATTCCTACTGCGCAGTGAGGTGCAGTTTTATTACACAGAAAGGGGGAAAATATAATTGCTGTCTCGAGTAATCATTTTCTGAAGGCTGCGAGCATAACCTTTCATTAATATTTCATTTGCGGCCGGGGCGGGTAACTGGAATAGGCCTAAAAATATTGTTGTTCCCCGTGCATGGAGAGATCACGCGCTGGGGGCCGCGGAGCCAGTGTGGGCTCTTCAGTTGTTCGCGGTTATTTCTAAAATTAAAAATGTTTAACCCATTAGCCTGTCAGAAAGTGGAGGAGAGGCTTCTAGAGACACAGCTCTCGCTGAGTGGGGTGAAGGTGCAAGTCCCAGACAGAAGCCATCTCCGCTCCTCCCCTGGGGGAGCGATGCCGCCTGCCCCTGCAGTGGATTTGGGGCACGGGGTCTGGGGGCGCCAGTGGCTCGCTGGTCAGAGCCGAGCTCCCGGGTCATGTGTGACGGGCACTATGTGGCCGGCCGTTCACAGGTTACTGGCTGTGAGGATGTGGTGGGAAGTGCCGTGGTCTTTGGTGTGGAGTGAGGCCCTTGAAGTGTTCGAAGTGTCTCCAGGGAGATGGTCAAAGGTTGATCCCGGATTTCTGGTCTGAGATCCCTGGAGACCATGCGTGCTCTTGGGGTGGGGGGGAGGGGGCAGGTCGAGGGTGTGCAGGATCATCCCAGAGCCTTTGGTGACTTCCAGCCATTCTGGATTCTGGGGCAGCTTCCTTCCCAGTCCTGGGGAGTCCAGCTGGTTGGGGACACAGGTCTGGCTCCCAGGGGGTGACTAAAGGCCCCACTTTTCAAATCCTCATGCTCTTTCATAGACATGAGCTCATCTGACCGTGAGAACAGCCCCCTGAGAACAGCCCCCGGACACCTGCAGGAACATGGTGACATCAGCCTTTACCCCACTGGTTGGTCAGCTTGACCCCATGGGATCCCCTGACAACCGAGCTGGGCGCGACTATCCAGCTCACCTATGGCAGGGACCCTGGAATCATGCGTAGCCGAAGGCCGCTTCCTCTGTAGGGACCTCTCAGAGCGCTCCTTACAGAGGAGGAAGCTGGGCCTTTCGGCTACAGGCATTGATTCCCAGGGTCACCTGGCCATAGGTGAGCTGGGATTAGTCTGCGGCCCAGCTCAGTGCAGACGCCCGTGGATCCTGGCAGGGCCTTTGGGCTGCTGAGCATTTGGGGACCGCAGCGGGCCGATGGGTGGCCTGCCGCCTTGTGCCCTCTTGCCTGCCAGGCCTCCTTTCCTGTCTGTATATGTGCGGGGGTCCTGACTCCTGACCCACGCGTGTCCACGTGAAGGGGAGGATCACAGAACTGTTTAAGCACCATTGGGATTTTTAAGAACACCCTTGGGCAACCCCAGAGTGGCTTGTTTCTGTGTTCTTGGGCTCACCGTATTTTCCTGGAAAAATAAATTCAAACAAACAAACACGGGGCCGTAGGTTCATGGCCATATATCGTTAGTGACAAAGGAGGGTTGTCCTAGTTATTAATCATCTCGGGACTTCTAGACATGCTCACATTTGTGCCCAAAGATGCAGCATTGTTAGGGGTCCTTTGTCTCCGAGAGGAAGGCCACGGGGTTGGTAAGCCCTGAGACGGGGTTGGCAACCTTCAGGGAGGCTGGAGGGGAAGGAGGACTTTGAGGAGCAGCCATGAGAGTCAGTGTTTCCTTTTCTCCGGACCCAGAGCAGGGAGGAAGGTGGCAGGACAGACGCTGATGACGGCCCCTGGGTGCCAGGCGTTCTCTGTTGATCTCGTTGACCTGCTGGCTGGGCACCCCATTCTACACACGAGGAGACGGAAGCCCTAGAGACCCATCAACGGCCAGGTGCCAGGTGAGTGCACAGGGCAGGATTTGAGGCCGGGCGCTGTCCTCGCCAGCCCAGGGAGAGCCGCCCCAGCAGAACAGAGTGGTGGCTCCGGCCTCTCCTCCCGCTGGACGCTTCCACCTTCCCCCTTTGCTCCTTGCCTCTGTGCCTCTGCTCCCGCCAGATCCAAACCCGCTAGTAAAACCACTTCTAAAGAGGTTTAAACAGTGACTGCATGTTGCTTACAAAAAGCTTGAGTTTCCTCCCCTGATCCCGTGCCCCGGGAGTGACCACGACTAACGACCCGGTGTGTGGAGCGCCAGACTTTGTTTCTAGGCACGTGGGAACCTTTAAAGATCGATGTAGATGTGTTACTAAAAGCCAGCGATTGGAAGAACCTGCAGCGAAATAGCCTGAGTAGGGATCCACTTAGATCTGTGATCCAGCCGCCGATAGAATTATCATTGGTCTGTTAGCAAAAGAAGCGTCCGTGTCCAGGCCCGGGAGCTGCTTACTACCTCTCATTGAATACAAAAAGTGAAGGACAAATTGCACGCATCGTGTATGTGGACACACTCCATTTCCGTGGCTGCTTCGCTTGGATGCACGTCCGGCACCGGCAGGCCCTGCAGACGCAGCCCAGAATCCCCTGTGTGGCTTTTCGGTGGTGGCCTGGCCTGCATGTCCCTGGCCTTAGCTGCCTGTGACATCGGGATGCCTCCGGAGAGCCATGGCCACCCCAGAGGAAGTTACTGGTGGCCACGTGCAGGGGAAGTCCTGCGGTAAGTGCTCCGGCCGGGCTGGGGGAGGGGCTGAGGGCAGAGGGACATCGTGAGGACCCCAGACTTGACCGAAGCCTTTCTGGGGGGCAGCGCCTCAGAACTCTGATGATTGCACCGAGTCACTTCGTCTCTGCACAGACAGAAATGCAGGCCCAGAGAGGGAAAGCGACGTGTCTGAGGTTGCACAGCAGGTCGCGGTGGGGCTGAGCTGGCTCCCCACGGGCACTCTGGGTGTGACTGGAGCCTGTGCCAGGTGGGGGCGGACTGGGGCTGCAGCGGCCTTCCCAGGGCCTTGTTTTCTCCTTGGGTAAGCTGGGTGGCAGTGCCCAGGTCTGTGTCCAGCCCCACTCATCTCTCCTTCCCCACTTCCTTCCCCTCCTTCTGCCTGCCACGCCCTCCACCCGGCCTACGTACCCCCCTTGCCAGAGCTGAGGGACTTGGAGCAACTTGGTGAAAACCCTGTGTGAGGATCTGGTTTGATGCGTTCTCCTTGGAAGCCTTGGATGTTCCTGGTGTGTGCTGTGTGCACGTGTGTGCATCCACGTGTGGTGTGTGTGTGGTGCATGCGCATGGGTGGTGCATGTGCTGTGTGCATTTGTGTGTGTACATGTATGTGTACGGGTACAGTGTGGGTGGTGTGTACCTGTGTGTGCATGTGGTGCACACATGAGTGTGGGTAGTGCATTGTGTGCGTGTGCACATATATATGCACATGGTGCACATGGTGTGGTTGGTGCATGCCTGTGTGGTGTGTGTGTGCAATTGTGTAAGTAAGCACATATATGTGTGCATGTATAGCATGGGTGGTACATGCCAGTGTGTGATGTTTGTGTGCATGTGTGCACTTGTGTGAGTGTGTGCATATATGTGTGCACGTATGGCGTGGGGGTGGCACATGCCTGTGTGTGGTGTGGGTGTGGTGTACGCATGCATGTAGTGTGTGAGTGTTGGTGTGAGTGTGCACATATGTGGGAGCATGTACGGCCTGGGTGGCACATGCCTGTGTGTGGTGTGTGTGTGGTGCACGCACGGGTGTGGTATGCGTGCTGTGAGCGTTGGTGTGAGTGTGCATGTGTACGTGTGCACACGGGTGCTGTGTGTTGGAGCAGACCAAGGGAGATTCCTGGCCACGCAGGTGTTTGGGGTGACCCGGCTGCACGAACCCCGAGCCCCGCTCTGCAGGCTGCCAGCGGGAGGCGTGTCTCAGCCCAGCCGCTCGCCCCCAGCAGAGCCGGGCCTCCGGGTGGAGGGAGGCGAGCTCTCAGAAATAGTAAACCACTGTTTTCTTGCCGGCTGTTTGCCCTCATTAATTCAGGTAGCAATTACCCATTCTGAATATTTGGCGACTAATTAGTTTTCCCTGTGGAGAAGGCAGAGCGAGGACGGTTTGGCTCCGACCCGATCCGCTTTCTCGGTTCCCGAGGAGGGGGCGCGGAGGCCGGAGGAGGAGGCAGAGGCAGAGGGCGAGGGAAACCTGCCCGACGCCTGGGATGCGCCTGGGATGCCCCTTCCGCCGCTGGGCCTTCGCTGCGAGTCTCGAGCACGATAAAAATAACCCACCCGATTTTGG